CACTAAGTTTCTCTTCTACTGCACCTAACTGGTTAATTCTGTCTACTGGATTCTCAGTATCGATCATTCCTTTTTTTAGTCTTATTGGTTTAGTGTTCAGAATAATCTTTTATTCTCTTTCCATAAATCACTTTCTATGGGGAAATTGAACAAACTACTCTTAAAACCATATTCTTTTTAAAAGTGTTTTTTATTTTGGGCTTTTTTGTTTGTTTCATTTTAGTATGCTAGAAATGAAAATGGTAACAGTTTTCTACGTTTCCCAACACTTTGGTCAGAGAATAAAATAAAATCTTTGTCTTGGAATTTACCTTCAATTTGAAAGAAACTGAAAATAAAGTTGATACGAGTAGCTTTTCTGGGATAGTAGCTTGTCTGTTATTGGGTCTTCACCATAAACTCTTCTCGCAAGGAAACTCAATGAGCAGTACTGGATCTCAAAATATCATTGCAATAGATAAAATATAGTTCATCAACCACAGCTACATCATTGTATTCCATGAATTAATTTTCACTTTGCTTATGTTATAGAAATGGGACTCTTTGCCTGTGAACTTCATTATTACTCAAAGGAAATAGAGAAGATGTGGAAGGGGGCTTACTTCTGTTTGATTTATTTAGTCCTATCTCTTTAGAAATAAAAGCTTGATCATGAAATGGCTTATTCATTTCTCTTACTAAGCAATTTTATTTATACTAAAATCAAAATCTTTTTTATAGTGTTCCCTGGATTACTTTAATATTATCTATAATTGTTTTCTTAAGCAATGTATTTTAAACTACACTACATGTAACTTCCTAAATCTAAATGTATTCAGCTTGTCTTGAACTTTGCTGTTTACTAATATAACTTTCCCACAATATCTCTTAAAAATTACTTAGATATTAGCCAATTTATGTAGATAAATATTTCAAAAATAAATCATTTAATAAGATAGATGTAAATGTAGATCATGATAATAATGACAATGATGTCAGCTAAAAGGGAGAATGTTATTTAATAAATGTGATTTGGGTCTTCTTTTCAAAGTACTAGAGTTAAGGGTGGTGGGAGAACACTATTATGCTTCCTCATGGCTTTATGATTTTTTTTTTTTTTCTTTGAGACAGAGTGTCAGTCTTGACACCCAGGCTAGAGTGCAATGGTGCAATCTCAGCTCACTGCAACCTCCACCTCCCAGGTTCAATTTATTCTTCTGCCTCAGCCTCCCAAGTAGCTGGGATTACAGGTGCTCGCCACCATGCCCAGCTAACTTTAGTATTTTTAGTTGAGACGGGGTTTCACTTGTTGGCCAGGCTTGTCTGGAACTCCTGACCTCAGGTGATCTACCAGCCTGGACCTCCCAAAGTGCTGGGATTACAGACATGAGCCACCATGCTTGCCTTGATTCTTATAGTTTCAGCATCAGGCTTAGACAAATACCCTCACATAATATTGCATCAAGAATAGTATAAAACCAACATATTTCCAATGATTTACTTGCTTTTTTTTTCTCTTACCACATTCTAAAAATCACAACAAAAGTGACCTCCAGCGAAGAATACTCTTTTTGGCTGTTTAATTTTTTTCCACTTTCATATAAACTTACACAAATATTCTGTGCAATTATAGAGTGTATAAGCTTCATTTCATCTTTTAATAGCATAATTAACAAGTGAAAATTTTCTACCGCTTATCTACATTCTCAGCTACTGTCACAAAATCTGGGTGATTTTATCATAGCAGTCAAAGAAGTTACACTAAATATGTTTCATTCCTTAACAAAATTATCTTGCTACTAATTTTTCACTAATATTAAAAAAAGTATCAATATTTTTCCTCATGTATGTGTACACTTGTATGGTATTATAACCTTTGAATGGTAAAAATATGTGTATAATTATTTCATGGAGGAATAAATTCAGAAAAATTGTTCTGTATATTTAATATCTATATTACTTTAATTTATTGGAAATTCACTAATTTCTGCCACTTTGAAATGTTATCATAAATAATTAAATTGGAAAAAAGAAAAAAGGTGTCTAGTAAAATACAGATGTTCAAAATCAGATGTTTCAAAGTAAGAATAACATTAAGAATGTAGAGGTAGGCTTCCAGCTTATCTCTTCTGTTTTTAAATTAATTTAAAGAAAAGTTTAAAATTTTATCTTGGGTTTCTTACTATCATAATGCTCTATTCTTCTTTATTCAGCAAAAACTCTAATTACCATGATGTCTTTGAGAATGTTTTACAATTTTATAGTCTTTCATTTATTATGTGTTTCTGCTTTTTAAATATTTTCATTATTGTGAAGCATTATATATATATATATATACATATATGTATATATATATGTAAAGTAATAAAGCCTAAATGTACAGTAAAGAAAAAATTTATAGCATTAAGAGTCATGTTACCACATCTTGGTCATAAAGTAGAATTCGCCAGCAATCCAGACACTCTCCATATATGCCTTCCTGTTGATAGCATTTCCCTTTTGTTTCCTCCTTCCTTACTATCTCAATTGTTATGATAATCACTCATATGCCTCACTTTAGAATTTCACCACCAATATAATAAACTGCAATTCATTGAAAATGTACTTTTGTAAACTTTATATAGATGGAGTTTTACTGAATCTTTTTTCAATCTTAATAATTTCTCTCATATGTATGTAGTTCAAATTTGTTCATTTTCCTTTTTATTTATATTATTTGTAAACATGTTTCTCTAGTTGGTTCATTTTGATTGCCGTATAGTATTCTATTGTACAAGTATACCATAATTTATTTATCCATTTTATCATTGATGGACATAGGAGAGACTTCTCAACTTTAGCTATTAAAACTCTATGATATACGTGTGTGTATATTTATTCTGATAAGAGTACAAATACTGGATCTTCAGATGTGATCCATCATCTTAATCAGATAATGCCATACTCAAAGTAATTGCTCTGATTTACAATTCTAGGAGCAGTGTATGAAAATTCCCATTACTTCATATGCTTTCCAAAATATGTAACATCTGACTAATTTTTACACTTTCATATTTATATAAAACATAATTAAACCTAATACTTTTAAGCCTTTTTCTATTATAAATCAGAATGTATTAATTCAAAAATTGTTCTCTTTTAAAATTCTATGACAATTTCACATTTAGTAATAATGAATTATATATTTCATGTTTATTGATTCATATACCTTGATTAGTTTTTCTATTATTTTTCTTAAAGACCTAAATACTCTGTTATTAAAAAGTATAATTATACTAGACATATTTCTTATAAGCAAACATTATGTCAAATGACTTTGAAAAATATGATTAGTTAACAGCATACTCTAAGGCAAATTTCAGCATTGTTTAACAGCTCCATAAAAAGACTCAAAGGAAAAAAATTGTTGAAATATAAAAACAGTCTGTAAGTGTAATGAAGGTGCCCATGGAAAAATACAAATTCTATCATTACTGCTACGGAAAAAAATGATTCGTAGTAAACAAACCATGTCCAAATTTTTTTAAGGCAGGCCTAATATCAATGGACAAAATTCCCTTTAAGGTCTTGACCTTAATTTCTATGTTCACCTGATTTCTGATTATGCAGTAACATTCTTGTTCCTTTTAAATTACTTGACTAATGTCAAACAGGAAAGCATGGGGGCATGCTGTTGAAAGAGTTCAAGGCCGTCTTAGTGGAAAACATGCAAATTTCCAAAATAGCTCAAATTAACTCCTATTCAAATACCATGTCCTTGTTATGAGATAAAATTTGTCATACTGATGTTGAAATAAAAGCTGAATTATCGTTTGCTGGCATGCAAATCAAGTCATATTCTTATTCATCATTTTGCAATTTTTTTCTTGTTTAACCTCTCCATAATTTGTGTTCAGCAATGTCAGTTGCTAGGGAAATTTTCCAATCTAATACATAAATCATACATTGGATGCCTGCACTGTTTTATGTAGCTTGGTCAAAACTAGAATCATGACCACTATTGATTAATTTTTTCAATGCCAGATTTACGTAGAATGAAACCTAACTTTTCCTACCAAAAGCATCCAAGGTTTTCCTCGGAAGCCCAGGAAGGCCACTATTCCTTAAATCTGGTTGTTTTTAATGAATAATTTTGTATAACTTATTGTTAACAAGCTTGTTAATATAAACACATTCACACACACACACCGACACAACCATCATGGTTGGGAAAAATTATTGTTCTATATTTTCTAAAATGAAAACTTAATTTTCTTACTTGGGCTTTTCAGCCCATTTTCAATGTTTATCAAACTCAATCTCTCATGCTTAGGCCTTTGACTAAGTTATTCTCTTGAGCCTTACACTTAAATATTTAACTAAAATACTCAGAAATTTTATAACTATTTCTCAGGCACTTAAAAAACATGTTTTCCAGTGAAGAGTCTACACTTCTCTGTGTATGAATACTCAATTTTATTTTTCTCTATTTATTTTTGATTACTTAATGGTTTAAGATGAATAGATGTTAAACTCAGTCTCCAATCTTTGATTTTATTCTTTTCAGTTTTTATGGTATAATTGTTTCTAAGAGGGGATCTTGGAGTCAGACTGCCAAGACAGGAAACCAGATTCCCTGCTTCATATAACTATGATCTAAGACTCCATTTTACAACTCCCTGCCTCAGTATAATCACCTATAAAAATCAAGTGATATGCCAGGCACGGTAGCTCACACCTGTAATCCCAGCACTTTGGGAGGCCACGGCAGGTGAATCACCTGAGATCAGGAGTTTGAAATCAGCATGGCCAACACAGCAAAACCCTGTCTCCACTAAAAATATAAAAATTAGCCAGGTGTTGTGGTGTGTGCCTATAATTCCAGCTACTTGAGTGGCTATGGCAGGAGAATCATTTGAACCCAGGAGGCTGAGTTGTAGTTAGTCAAGATTATGCCACTGCACTCCAGCCTGGGAGACAGACTGACACTCCATCTCAAAAAGTACAACAAAAAAAGGAAATGATAATAAAATTGTCTTTGGTTAATTTTGTTAGGAGTTAATATACTATTTGTATAACTACTTTCTTTTTTACCTCACTATAGGCAGGGACCAAAGATTGTTAATTATTGATTTGATCCTGTTTTACTTGATATTTAAGATACCAGTGAGAACTTCCACTTCTTTTTTTTCCCCCTTTCTGAGACAGAGTCTCCCTCTATTACCCAAGCTGGAGTACAGTGGCAGGACCATAACCCACTAGAGCCTTGAATTCCTGGGCTCAAGCAATCTTCCTGCCACAGCTTCCCAAGTATTTGGGACTATAGGCATGCACCACCATACCAGCTAATTTTAAAATTTTTTTATAGAGATGGAGTCTCCATATGCTGCACAGGGAACTCCTGCTCTCAAGGGATTCTCCCAACTTGGCCTCCCAAAGTACTAGGACTATAGGCATGAGCCATCACATCTAGACTGCAGTGGAACTTCTTGATGCTACCTAGAGCTTTGGCTCATGTCCATCCTAAAGTGGATCTAATCAGTTTGTAGTTATTGCCTCTTCCTGAATGTGTAATTGAAATGGATATATATGGCAGTTACCAGAACTCTATCACATTCTTCCTGACCTGTAGAGTAAGGGACATTATTATAGCAGGACCAAGGGGAAGCCTCTGAAATTCTCCTCTACTGACAACACAACATATAAAAAATAATAACCACATTCCCTAAGGAATAAAATTGGTCACTGCCACGACAAAACACTCGGAAGTTACAGGGGATGGTAGTCCCTTCTATAACCCTATTCACTTAACCTATCCGGCCTCTACCAAAACCAGATGGATTATAGAATGAATGCAGATTACCATAAACTTAAATCAACACTTATGAATGCTTTCCAGGATGTGCTATCTTCACCGAGCAGAGCATAGTTTCTGGTACTTTTAATGGGGCTCATGATTTGGTGAATGTTTCTTATCTACACTCCTTTTGAGGGAAAATCAAAACAATTTGCCTTGTAAGTATAATAACACTGCTTCACTGTTTTATGTCAGGGATATGTCACTTCTGTTCTCAATTTAATTTACATTTTTTAAAACGTCGTGCTAATGTAATATATTAATAATATTACAGACCGGGCCCTGGAGGACATGACTGTAATTCCAGCACTGCAGGAGGCCAACACGGGCAGACTGCTTGAGCCTAGGAGTTTAAGATCAGCCTGGGTAACATAGTGAAATGCCAGCCCTACAAAAAATACAAAAATTAGCCAGCCATGGTGGTGTGCCCCAGCAGTCCCAACTGCTAGAAATGCCAAGGCAGGAGAATCACTTGAACCCAGAAGGTTGAGGCTGCAATGAGCTGTGATCCTGCCACTGCACTCCAGCCTCAGGGACACAATGAGACCCTGCCTCAAAATAATAGCAATAATAATTATATATTCATTGGTGCAATAATCAGGAAGTGGCAAGTTTCTTAAATACAGTAAAAACTATAACATTGAATGGAAGTAAAATACCAGAATAAAAGAGATAAACCTGAGAAGGTTCAGAGACCTACAACATAGGTGATATTTTAAGGCGTTCAGTGTCCCTAGGATACATGTAGAAACAATCTTTTTTAAAGTAAATGGCATGTTGCTTTCTCTATATATTTCCTATCACTACAAAAGAGGCACCATTCTGGGGGGGGCCTATTGAGATTTTGAGCCAACATATTCCACATTTGAGAATATTGCTCTGACTCATTACCAAAATTTCTAAAGGCTACTGGTCTCAGGTGGAACCCAGAACAAAAGGCGGCTCTACGGCAGATACAGGCTCTGCCCCAAGCTGCTCTGCCCACTGTGTCAGATGATCCAGCAGAATTCAGAGCTGCTAGAGGCATGCACAGTGGGCGTTATAGGATTCTATACACGTCTCTGACAAGCCTGTAGGAGAGCGGAGAGAAAATCTTATGAAATTAGTGCAAGACCATTCCCTCTTCAGCAAAGGAGTATCTTCTGTCTGAAAAAACAAAACAGCAAGTGCAGAACATTAATCCAAGCATAGAGTCCCTCTAAGCACAAGCCCCTCTAAGCACAAAAACCTGTGCAGCTGAACAAGTCATATGCTCATAAAGCCAGCCATAATTGGAGGGCATGAGCACATCTGAGTGGCACAAGGAGTGGGCAGTATTGGGCAAAAACATGTGCTTTCTCAGATTCCCTTTACTAGCACCTTGCCTGATCCAGATCATCTTTCCATTTAGGACTTGAATGGATCATCGCACTATAAGAATGAAGTCTGACTTTCATAACCTCTACCAAGGGACTGGATAGTGTTAAGACAAAACAGCAGAGATGGTAGTTCTGCCTCAGGAAAACCGTGGCCAATGGGAAATCAAAGACAGAAGACAGCTGAGCAGATACATTCTCCCTTCTCTCACTTCTATGGACTAATGCTGGTTGTGGTTTCCCCTTGCTGCCATTCTGGAAAAGTGCTGGGAGCCAAGGGCATGCATCTGATGACCACCATGCTGTCTCTCTCACCTCACTGTGAAGTGGCTGCCAGCAGAATTAGACCATACATCACCACACATTGTTTCACATTTTTTCTTATCTCAATTTCCACATGTCCCTGCTCTTTTTGTCTTAAACTTGCCTTCAAATAAATGTCATCACTTTAATATCAGGTATTACATAAAAAACATTTTAGTAAAGTAACTGGTTACTAGCTCGTTGTTTTGAAATAAAATGCCATTTTTGTTTACATAACAATCAATTAGAAAATATCATAATACAAATATGTAATTCACAATAAAAATATATATACATATAGACAAAAGTCTTTTATGTGCTTTTTTAAAATATTGTAATAAGTGCCTTCTAATTTTGATGTTCTACCTTGTCTCCAATTCAGACACCTGATGCAGCTGAATCAAGACTATATTATTGTGATATTTCCCCCAAAATTGTAGAATAGCCAAACCATTCCTCTGAGGAATGATCCTTCTTGGATAAGTGTGTAACCTCCACTGGAGACCACAACAGGGGAATTCATGCAACTGTAGATTTTGTGATGAGTTTCCTTTTCATTGGTTTACCACATCAACTTACCCATTTTATCCACCCATTTATTTGTTCATTAAAATATCATTTTTGACCATCTATTCTTTGTGCTAGGTTCTAAGTCCTGGGAGTCAACAGAAAGCAAGACAGACATGGTATCTTTTTTTTTACGGTGCTTACATTGTACTGAGGAAGATATATAATTTTTAAAATACATAAATCAGGTGTGAGGATGATTTATCTTAAGGTTTAAATAACATTGTTAAAATTTCATAACATCAAGAATTAATACAGTCATCTAGAATTTAGCTGTGAACAAGATTGTACATTTCCTTCTTAATAGAATTAATTAATAGAATTTCCTATTAATGAATATGTTAACATACTTTCATTTCATCATTGACAAAAAAAATTACAATGCTAAAGCATACCCTATAACACATAGATTTTATAGATGCTATTTTAACATTAACAAAAAGTTTCACTGAATTATTTTCCATAATTTCTACACTATTTTTACATTGACAGTTTTGTTTTTTTTTTTTTTTAAGAAAAAGGAAGATTTGAGTTGTCTTATCTAAAGTTTAGAAGGAATTTTATAAATGGAAGATAAGACTATAATTCACAATTCAGGGGCTTAGAAGTGCATTAGAAAAAATACCAAAATAATTTACATCAGCTCTCAACTTCAAAAAAAGCTTTTCTTTAGTTCAAAAGCTGGAAGAAATGACTTTTCTTACTGCATATGGAAACTGATAATAGCAATCAAGGTCATGATCATGATTTTTCATCCCTATTATAAAAGAGATTTTTTTCCTAAGCCATTCACATACTTGTGTTAAATCTGCTACTCCTCAGTAGTGTTTACGGTAGGCAAAGACGAAATTTACTCTACATATGTTTGTCACCCAAACTTTATTGTGTGCATCGTTTTCTAACAATAATTGTGTTTGCTTTATATTAAACATAAAATAGGAACTCACAATGAAATAAAACCCCGAAGACATATCCTCATTATTGATTTAGAATTAAATGATCTTACCATCCAAAAAGTTAGAGGTTCAAACAATGAATTCTAACCACACTGTGGTATATTTGTGTGGTGCAAATAACAATACAAAAGAGCAATATTTTTCCCGAGATAAGCTGTTAGTTCTTAATAATTATGAATAGGCAACATAAATTCTTCAAATGAAATATAAAATACATGTATGAAATACACAAGGCTTCATAATTCTGAGGAACTTTTATCATATTTTGTATAATTTGGCAGTTTGTGTGAAAAAACAATAAAGAGTATGTTATTGTCGATGTTCTTAAGTTTTCATACACACATAAACACACACACACACACACACGCTTTTTTAGATTAACTTTAGGTAAAAGACTTTTATAGGTATACATTTGAAATTATTCATATACATATATTACAAAAAACCAGTAAGAAATATAAAATGTTTCATACACCACCAGTTTGTTTTCTGCTAGAAGATGTACAATGCCCTTCTTGTGATTCTATGGAGATGAAGATTTCTGTCGTTTCACCCAGTACCTCACTTGCCACCAAACTGAAAGAAAAGTCTGCTTTAGCTTCTTGTTTCCCCAAATCAGGATGAATGGGTGGGCTGAAGGATAGCTGAATCTAATAGCTTGGCAGAACATAAAGACAGCTTTCTTTTCCATGTTCTCAAAACTCTGAACTGATATTATTACAGACAGAAAGTAAGTGGCACATAACAAGAGGAAGGAGATCACGGTTTGCAAAGCTTTTATGTGGACTTTGGTGCTGGGATCTTGACATCTTTTGCCATGAAGCTGCATCTTCTTGAGATGTTTACACAGAGAACAGATTAATAGCAGAAAAGATATCAGGGTCAGAGTGAAGGGTGCTAAGTTTGCTAGCAGGTTTATAGTCAAATTTGACAGGGACATCGCATTCCTCAATTTGATCTTCCAAGTCATGTTTCCTTCATATTCTTCTGTCCATACAATCTCATTCACGTTTACCACAAAAAGCTGACAAATCAAAAGTAGCAAAGGCCCCAACATGATCACCCGAATGACACTCGTAACTCTCCTCTTTAAGCGAAGAAAAATAAAGTTGGAGAAATTGACAATCTTGAGCAAATAAAATATGCTGAGGCTAGTAGCAAGCCAGTTGCTGAAATGGCTGGTTACTGCCCAGAAGCTGTAAGTAGTAATTCTGACTTCTGCAGTCTTATAAAAAGCTGGATTCAATACAGTTGAATACCAATGTAATAATAATACCCAGAGCAAACCAACTCTGGAGACCGCCAGAGCAGTGAGAATTTGGTCAGCAAAGGAGATCTTTTGTCTCTTGACCCACTCAATGGAATTTACCAATGCTATGAAGCCATTAGCAAAATTTCCAAGAACAAATGTAACCACTACTAGAATGGAAAAAATGATGGGTAGAAAAGTTATCATATCTGAACAGACAAAAAGGAATTTTTTAAATGCTGGTATAATATCACTGATTGTGATTGCTTGAATATCCTGGCCTTAAATTCTATATGTACCTGATTTGTGAATATGCTGTGACATTCTTTTTACTTTTAATTGTTGTGACCAGTGTCAAGCCAGAAATCACCATGGCATGCTAATGCCTGAGTTCAATCCTCTCTTTATGGAAAACATTCTTATTTTCAAAACAACTCAAATTAACTCATTCATTCACTGTCTGTTCTTGTTGTAGGCTGGAATTATTCATACTGAAATGGACGGGAAGCCTGAATTCTCATTTGCTAATATGTAAATAAGGATATATTATCTTTCAGTGTTTGCAGTTTTTCCTTGTGTAACCTCTCCATCATTTGTCTTTAGCGACTTCAGTTGTTAGGGAAGTTTTATAACCCAATACATAAATCATATAGTAAATGCCTAAATTGTTAAAGGGAGTTTGATCATAACTAAGATCATCACCAATATGGACTTTTTTTTAATTTCAGATTTAAATACAAAGAATCCAAACTTCTTTTATCAAAAGCATCTAAGATTGTCTTGAGAACTACAGGCAGGCCAATGCTCCTTAAGATCTGGTTGCTGCTAATAATGCATAACTTCTTTGTTCACAAGCTCATAAATACACACATATGCACACTACTTATGAATGGAACACATTATTTTCTTGAATTTCCAAAATAAAAAATGGGTTTCCAGGAAATTGTCCAGGTGAAATTTGTCCTATTTACCACTCAGGGTTTTCATCCCATGAATGCTATTTAGTTATCAAACATATCTCTAATTCTTAGGCCTTTGGTATAGTTTCTCTCAAGTCTAACATTTAAATATTTATTTAATTAAAATATTTAGCAATTTTATAAGTATTCCTAAGTACCAGACCCTTTGATAGATAATGTTGCAGTATCCTCCCATCACAAGAACACTGACTACCTTGCCCCTGAACTTAGAGTTCAATCATTTAACTTGTTTTGATAAACAGAATATTGCTACACTTTGCATAGAGATTTGAGATGGCTTCCATATAAAGGATTCTTCCTCTTTCCATTTACCATGAGACTATTGCCTGGCTAGTACATGTTTACAGGAAAATGAGAGACTAGTGAAGTCAGACTGCCCCCTCCCGACCCTGCAATCCAGACTAAATTGGCCAAACTCTACCTCCAAGATGCAGAATTTTGCCTATCTCAAATCACCAGAGCCATCCACCAAACTCAGATTAGAAAAACAAAATCCAAAGACATGTGAGGTATAAATATCTAACACAGTTTTGGAGGGTTTTCTCTTGCAGAAAAACATAACTAATAAAAGAACTCTGCTAAACCAAGAATGTGGGGAATATGTACAAGCTAGTTGTGTCAGGAATTCAGGAGCCAAAAGAAAAAACAGACGGGAAATGGCAATGGTTTGTTCCTGTGAGGCGGATAATTAAGGCTAGAAGAAATCCTTTGGAAAGATCTGAGGTTAGCAGGTAACAACATCTCAAATTTCCTCAACTTGCAACTAACTAAGAAAGTTCCTACTTCAGCTCTCTTAGAGTTGTATAAGAATGTATACACATAATTGATTTTTCCCCTCAGTATATAATGAAATGAGTAATAATCATTTCTATGAGACATTTCTCCTAATTAAAAATTTTATATTAAAATTATAATGCACACTTAGAAATAAACCAAAACAAAAATGGCAAATACAGCAATGTATCATAAACACTCAAGTAACCATCATGCAGGGCAAGACAAGGAACACCAAAAACAGTCTATGTCCACCCCCATGCTACTTTCCAAGCCCCTAAAACTTTCTTCACATCTTCTAAGATAAGCAATATCCATAATTTATGATGACGGTTTCCTTGATTTTCTTTATACTTTACCAAATAATTATGCAACCCTAAACTACATAGCTTGGTCTGGCCTGCTTTGAACTGTATAGGTGCAATCCTACATGTTCTTTTTGTATGTGGCTTCTTGGACTAAACATTATGTTTCTGAAATTTAATCCCATAATTGCATGTACATGTGATTTTTTTTCATGTCTCTATATTATTCCATTGTATGGATTTACTGTAATGATTCATCTGTCCTTAATATATATTTGGCCAGCTTCTTTTTTGAACATTTATGAATAATTCTACTAGAGCATTCTTTCACAAATCATTTGATACAATTCCATTGTATATATACCTATGAGTAGAATTACAGGATCTTTGTTCAAAATCTCATCATAGACACAGAAAAGTTCAAAGAATAATTTAACTGAATTTATCCCTGTCACCTTTACCTCCAGTCTATTTTTTGCCATTTGCATATATATTATCAATTATGTAATTATCCCAATAAGATATTATTTTATACAGTAAACATTCATTTAGAAGTATCCACATATTTATCATTTTCATTAATTGTATTCCTTCTTGCATGTTCTTAATATTTTCAATAATTCTTATTGGTCAGGCAGGGTAGCTCACACCCATAATCCCAACATTTTGTAAGGCTGGGGCAGGGGCACCCAGGAGTTCAAGACCAGCCTGTGCAACACAGCAAAACTGTCTCTACAATAAATAAAAAAGTTAGACATAGTGAAGCTACTCACAAGGCTGAGGTGGGAGGATGGTTTGAGTCCAGGAGTTCCAGACTGCAGTAAGCCATGATCTGACCACTGAACTCCAACCTGGGCAACAGAGTGAGACTCCAACTCTACAAACAATAATAATAATAATAATTTTTCTTTTAATTAAAAATATTATTTTAAGTTTCTGTTTATCAAGGTCTATTCTACTTTTGAAATACACTGAACACATGATTCCATTCAACTCTAGCTTCATTTTTGTCTTTTACAAATCAGGTTGTCATTTAGACAGTTACTCCCTTTAACATAACCTATCTTTTCCTCTAGTTACTTTTCAGATTTTCTATTTGTCTTTGATGTCCTGTCATTTTATGTTAATTTGTTTTTAGTTAACACATCTGAAGTTTGATTATTTCTAAAAATATAAGAACTGATACATTTTATCACATTTAGAAAAATCTCCACATTGTTTCTGCCCCATTTTCTCTCTTCTAATTTTCCAGAACTCCAGAAATATGTTGGATGTTCTGATTGTAGCCTCAATGTCTCTTACCCTCTAACCTTATATTTTCCATCTCTTGATCTTTTTATGCTTCATTCTGGGTAGTTATCTTCCAGTTCACTAATTCTTTCTTCTCTTATGTTTAATGGTTGTTAACTCTGTCTATTGGATTCTCAATATTGATTATTTTTGTCTTATTGTTTTAGGGGTAGAAATAAACTTTTGCTCTCCTTCTATGAATCATTTTTTAATGGAGGAACTAAACAAACTATTCCTAACACCAAGTTCTTAAAAAAAGAGCTTTTATAAATTTTTCGTACACCTGACATGAAAATGGTAACGATTTTCTTCTTTGCGTAATAGTTTGGTCACAGAAGAGAATGAAAGCATGATCTAGGCATTCTCCTGAAAGTTGGAATAAACTGGAAATTGATTTGATGTGAGTAGCTTTTTTTGGATAGTAGCTTGTCTGTTGCTGGGTCATCACCACAAAGTCTCCTCACAGAGAAATTCAATGAGCAGCATTGCATCTCAAAATGTCACTGCAATTAATAGTATATAGTACCTCAACCACAGCTCCACCTTTCTATTCCATCATTTAAATTTTACTCTGTTTTTATTAACATAAATTGTTATTAGCAGAAATCAGGACTTCTTAGTTTATAACAAACTTTAAAAGATCAAATAGTACAACAGTACTCACAAGTTTATCAAAAAATGAAGGACATCTGTTATAAGTAGATTTTAAGTCCCAAGGAAACACAACTGAATCCGGTGCCTTTATGGAATTCCACCATTTATTCCCTATCCATGAATATAGTTGTAGTTATAGAACTATAACCTTCAAACTCCATCATTACTCACTCAAGTGTGACAGAAGATCTGAGGTCTTACCTCTGTTTGACACTTTGGTCCTAAAATCCTCTCTTTAGAAATAAAAGCTTGCTCATAAAATGTGTTATTTGCTTTATCCTTCTTATTAAGGAGTTTTATTTACACTAAAATCTAAATTGTTTCTATAGTGATCATAGGGAAATGAGGATTAGTTTAAGGTCATCCATAAATAATTATTTGCTTAAGCAATGTATTATAAATGAAACCACACTTAATTTCTCAATATAAATTATTGAGCTTGACTTGACCTTTGCTATTTACCACTGTAACTTTCCCACAATGATGATCTTTTTAAAATTACCTATTTTCCAAATTATGTAAATATGTCAAAAATAAATCATTTAATGAGATAGATGTAGATATAATGATGATGATGATAACAAAGGCAGGTAAAAGGGAGGATGCTATTTGATAAATGTAATTTCAGTCTCATTTCTTAAATACTAGAGTTCAGGGTGATGAGAAAACACTATTAATCTTCCTCATGACCTCATGATTCCTATATTATTTTCAGCATCAGGCTTAGACAAATACCCTCATGTGATATTTCATCAAGAATAATGTAAAACCAACATATTTTCAATGATTTTTTTTTCTTTTACTACATTTTAAAAAATTATAGCAAAAGTGACCTCCAACAATTAGGATTCTATTTTGGGCTTTTGGGGGCATTTTTCAATATGAACATGGACTAATGCTCTAGATATAACACAGTATATCAATTTTATTTCATGTTTTAATCACATCATTAGCAAGCTAAATTCTTGCAAATGCTTTTTCACATTCTTAGCTATGGTGACTAAATCTGGATGATTTTACTATAACAGTCAAATTAGTATATTTGCACAAACATACTGAAATATCATACTGAATATGTTTTATACCTTAACAAATTTGCCTTTCTATGATTTTTTCTCTAATGTAGAACCAAAACATTTATAGTAACAAAATATTTTTCCCAAGTGTACACATAAATAGTATTGTGCAATTAGAACACTAACAATATGAATATTTCATTTAGAGACACATTTTGGGACAATAGGTCTACATATTTAATGTCCATTATACTATAATTTTTTGGAAATTCATGACTTTCTGACACTTTGAAATGTGTATCATTAATAATTAAATTGGAAATAAGAAAAAAGGCATCTAGCAATCATTCATATTCAAATTTTGATGTTTCAAATTAATAACAGCATTAAGAGGGTGGATTTACAATTATCTTTTTCTTTTTTTTTTTTTTCATTAATTTAAGAAAAGTTTTGGGCCAGGTGTAGTGGCTCACACCTGTAATCCCAGCATTTTGGGAGGCTGAGGCAGGTGGATTCCCTCAGCACAGGAGTTCAAGACCAGCCTGGGTAAGATGACAAAATCCTGTCTCTACCAAAAATAGAAAAAATTAGCAGGGCATGGTGGTGGTGCACACCTGTTGTCCTAGCTGCTCAGGAGGCTGATAGGGGAGAATCACTTGAGCCCAGGTGGCAGAGGTTCTATTGAGCAGAGATTGCACTTGTGCACTCCAGCCTGGACAAAAGATTGACACTCTGTCTCAAAATAAAAAAGAAACTTTTAAATTCTAACTTGGATTTCTTAGTACCATAATGCTCTATTCTCCTTTATTCAGCAAACACTCTAATTACAATGGTATCTATGAGAATATGCATATCACCTTAATTTTATACTTAGAAATGTACTTTGCTGCCGAGTCTGTCCCATAGACTTTGGCCTAGTGAAGGATGAAAGGAGTACTCAGACACAGGTATTTTGCATGAGAGCAACTAGGGGACTGCTGGAGAGAGCAGTCCTGATAAGCCAGAGCCACTTGCCTTTATTCAGTACTGGTATAATGTCAAAGGCTTGGAGCCAACACAATTTGTGGGTAATTAACATTGTCCCTCCCCATTGCAGGGAGCAGTCTTGCATGTGGATGATCAAAGGTCAGTCTCCAGATAACATAAGTAAACTTATCTAGATAGATTTCTTTACACTCCCTGTTACCTACTCCTTGCCCTTAGTCTCAGGGTAAGAGAATTAGCTGCCTTCAGCTTTATACTCTCTGGAAGCTTTGCAGAGCCTTCTGACCTTTCAAAAGGCCTGCTTCTTTCCCTATAGCTTCTCCCACAACCCTGACCAATCTCCTATGTCTCCCCCTTTTCTGTTTTTTGCATCAGGTTTTGTTGATTGAAGAGTACAGATGTGTGCAGCAGTAGGTTTATAAGAGGTAGCAGTTACAGCTCGTTTTCCAGCTTTGCATCCTACAATTAGTAAATAACATGAGATAAAAAGGAGTATAATCAGTAATATCCTTTTCCAACCAAGGAGTGACCCCCAGGAGTAGGGGTCTATCCAGGAGAGATGTTTTTGTACATCCTTCCATATGGCTGTTTGCTGGGCATGTAGATCTATGGTGTTTAGAGATTCTCGAATTTTAGTTTTAAGTTGCTTTACATCTGCTGTTAAAATTATCACGTAAGATTCCCCAGAGGTGTTGTTTCACCTCATCTCAACTACGTATTGATTGATGTCAAGGTAGAGAGGTGACACAGATATGCTTATGCTCCCAGTCGCAGTTTAATTGCTGTCAGAATGCCAGTGCATCTTGCCATTCCTCTATGTACTCCAAGTCAGCCTTGAGGGCTTGCAGACATGCAAGAATTTTTTTTGATCTATACCCTGCTGTAGGAGGACTTCATTAGACACATTTCTGGCCAAGTTATCCACAAAGGTGGCTGTTTGTACTGATTCAGTATGCAACAGCAACACTAGCAGTGGCTAGGATGACTATGGCTGAGAATATAGGACTATAAGTATACCTAGGAATCTTTTGTGTCTGACCTGGGACAGGGCACATTCTAAGGTGGCAAGAGCAGAGAAACCCTGCCAATCGCATGTCAAATTGACTGGTAGGAATGCTTCAGGTTGTCTCCTTAATACCATGACACTAGTAATATTTAAATTAGATGTATTGTAATTAGTGATACCTGAGGCGAACCAAGCCTGTCTTGGCACTTGGGTCACAAACATGAAGTTTTGGGGTGTAATGGAAATATTGGTTCCCATACGGAAAACATATGGATGGCTAGCACAAATTAGTCACTGACCTGTGTCATTATGAATAAAGGTCATAGTATAATTTTTACTGGAATTATAATATACCTCACACCAGGTGTTAAAGGTGGTTGTAAGATGTTCCAGGTGCCATAAAGTGTCTTGGAGTGGCATGGACTCTACTTGGGGTATGGAATATACCAGCCCCCATTGACCCAAATCATAGGACAATGGGGTGTGCCTATGAAACTGATTGATGCCACGATGGATGCAGACATCAGTATGGTCACCCTGCAAATAGCCATGAGGGCTCCAGTCTTAAGAAATTATAATTGCCTAACTGGAGGCTACAGGATTGTCCCCCATGATAGATCTCCCAGCTAAGGTGGAATCCATTACTTTTCTGGCTTTGTTTTTTAGCACAGGGAATAATGTTGGGGAAAGTGTTGCATTTCCTGGTTTGAAGCTACCTGAAACCAAAAATGTTAAGGCATTTCCTTTGCCGTG